TAAATATGTCAAAAATGTGAATTATGCGAATTTATTTACAAGATTATTTTTATTAAAAATGCATAAGACCTTTTTTACTTCTAATCGGTATCAAAAAGATCTTCAGTTTCATTCTTTGTGGATAACCCTTTATATTGGCTAACTGCTTCGCCTCCGCAGCCCGCCCGCATTCATTTAAAAAAAACATTGGCAGTTTTTTTAATCTGTTAATTATTTGCCCGCCAGTAACCCACTATAGGTCCACAAATCATACAGTTTTTCAGCAAAATTAAAAACTCTTTAAAGTATAATTTTTCATGGCTAAATTTTCTTGTTAAAGTTGTTTAATAAAATAAATTACATAGACAAAAAGACCGGCGATAAAACTGCCAAAAAAATAGTAATTTTCACGCATAGACCGTAGACACATAGTCAAACATCTAGAAAATCTACATAGCTAGAAATCCAGGCAATTAGACATCCAGACATCTAGACATCCAGACAACTCTACAATTAAAAAGCTAGTCATTCAAATAAGTTTACTGCTAGACAACTGGACATTTAGACAACTATGACAGCTTCACAACTTGACAACTAGATAGCTTTACAACTAGACAACTGGACATCCAGGCAACTATATATTTAGGAAACTAGACATTCAGACAACTTTAAACAAGACAACTGGACATCCAGACAATCCGATATTCCGAAAAATAGGCAGGTTCACAACTAGACATCCAGACACGTAGACAGCTAAAAAGCAAGACTGGTTCACAGTTAGACATCCAGACAGCTAGACAGCTAGACATCCAGAAAGCTAGACAGCTTCGTAACTAGACATACAGACAGTTACACAGCTTAACATCCAGACAGATAGACATTCAGAAAGCTGCACATTCAGACAGCTACACATCCAGACAGCTAGACATTCAGACAACTAGACATTCTGACTGCTAGACATTCAAACAGCTAGACTTTGAGGCAGCTACACATTCAGGCAGCTAGACATTTATACAGCTAGACATTCAGACAGCTAGACATTCATACAGATAGACATTCAGACAGCTAGACATTCAAACAGCAACACATTCAGACAGCTAGACATTCAAACAGCTTCACATCCAGACAGCTAGACATTCAAACACCTAGACACCCATACAGCTAGACATTCAGATATCTATACATTCATACAGCTCGACATTCATACAGCTGGAAATCCAGACTGCTAGACATTCAGACAGCTAGACATTAAGACAGCTAGACATTGAGACAGCTACACATCCAGACAGCGATATGATATGAAAAGAGAGAGAGAGTATGCTGTACATCATTTCAATGTTCCCGTTGCGTCTGACATTTTGGACAGATTTATAGCTCTTCATTATACAGATTGGGAGTTGCTCAATGGACGTAACATAAATAACGTTCCAACCCCGGCGTTTCGTTACGACTGGGGAGGGGGGGGGGGGGGGGGAGGGACCAGGGGAGACTGATTAATACCGAATATTTTTAACAGACATAAAAATTTATGAGTAAGGGTAGAGGGATATGTCATAAACTACAATATTCAGACGGCAGAGTTTATATACAACTATACAACAGTTTTCAAAGATCAGATGTGAGAGAGGGGGAAAAGGCGACCCACGCCCGTTTCACCTCCGACCCGCAGATGACGTCACAAAATGGGATTTGCGGCATGCGCTTGCCCCTATGCCGTCCGACCCTTACCCGTTTTCCCATCCTGCAAAACGACTGTACTTTTGTATGCTAATTATAGACGAATGCAGCATTAATTTAGACATCCGCTGATGATAATCTTCTCAAAGTAAGTTTTGGAACACTAAAAATAAATCTTTTTTAGAGAAAATGTCGTCTTTTGGCGCGCAATTCAATTAAAGAATATGCTATAAACATATGACATCATTTGTGGGTCGGAGGTAAAATGGGTGAGGGTTAATGTATAGAATATGCTTTAACTGAATTGTACATCAAACTCTGACAGCCACTAAAACTTTAAGATAAAGAGTAAATTATAAAAACGCAGATTTTATTATGGGTTTTCACAACTCTTGCTTCATTCAGTCAAGACATCCTCTGCTGTCACAGAAAAAACTATAATGAATAAGTTTATTATCTGATAGATACCATGACGTCATTATAAATTTAAATTAATGCTGCATTCGTCTATAATAAACAAATTAAGAAATTTTGCTGGAAGGTAAAACAGGTGAGGGTCGGACGGAATAGGGGTAAGCGTATGCCACAAATCCCGTTTTGTGACGGCATCTGAGGTTCGGAGGTAAAACGGGTGCGGGTCGCCTTCCCCCTCTCTGCGAGACCTTTATTGGCGCATACATTCTACAAATATAATGGTACAGCTTCCTTTTTCAAATTCTTTGTTCGAGGATTTTCATTTGTTTTAGTTCCTATATCCCGTTAAAGAGAGGGTTTAAAAAAATGTTACTTTGATCAGGGGGATTCCTTTCTTTTCCTGCAGTAGAAAAGTCACTTTTGTTTTTGGAGAGAACCCACAATTGAAAATGATCAGTTTTTAAAACTATAAACATTGATATCTTAATCAAACTTGACCTGACAAAGCTTTTAAGGGTATCATTGTGAATCGGGCATTGCCATCTTAGCATCTTAAAATTACGTTTAATTGTTATATTTTTATGATCGTCTGTGAAGTCTGTGGAAAACGTTGCGGATTATTTATTTTTATTTTTATTTTCAATTTAATTATGATTTATCGTTCATTTTTTAAAATAAATTTTACCTTAATTTCTCTTTTATTAAGTTTCTTTGATTTTGTTCTGTTTTATCTATTGTTATTCTGTTTTGAAATGTTATCCTGTTATCTATTATTTTAAATCCAAAGAATTGTAGTCTTTGCAACAAACTCTGATTTTCTAATCCCTATATATTTGTAACCCAATTCCAAACCATTAATTTTATTTTATCAAAAAATCTATTGGAAAATCAATGGTTTACTACCATCAGATTGAAAAAATATAGAGATTAGAACATTTTAAGTTCGTGGCAAAGACTCAATTCCTTTTCTTATCTGCAGTTCTTTATCCTGTTCAAAAGTCTCGTATATATATTTTGCTCTGAAATTATGTTTTCTCAATAATCACGAAACCTTTCCTTTCAAATCGAGGTTTGGAGAATATTAATTAATACCTTTATGTAGTTAAAGGACCTAAGTAGGAAGGAAACAAACGTCGAACTAGGGATCGGTGGTTTAGCCCTAATAACACCAACAAAGGACAATATTTAGAAGACAATATTTAGAAGACGATATTTAGAAGACGATATTTAGAAGACGATGGTGAGATTTCAACGTGGTTTTAGTTTATTCTTAAGTTTAATTTGCAAGAAATCTTTTGATATGTATTTAAATCTAAAACTTTTATTGCAGAAACTAATTTAAAAAGTAAAGACAGAAATATACTTTTTAATGAATTTAGATTTAATATTTATAAATTAAAATATAGTTTTTTTTTGGTTTTGATCATTTACGACCAGCAAACTTTAAACTAACTTTCAGAACACAAAATTTGATGCTGTACTCGTAGAACATAGCAATAAAATGGCAACGATGTTTCCTATTTCAGATAGAAACCGGTGAATTTTCAGACGGTACTGTTATGAACCGTAAACAGCATCCTTTAAAGGACCACTTTGTTCATGTGAAGGATTGATTGAAAAAATGAAAAAAGAGATAGAATAAGCATAGCACAGGATAATAATGGATAGAATGCGAATAAGATTGGATGAGGACGGATGGAACGAGGAAAGGTAGGATGAGGACGGATAGAATAGGAAAGGTATGATGAGGACGGATATAAGAGGAAAGGTAGGATGAGAACGTATAAAAACTGGAAAGGTAGGATGAGGACGGATGGAACGAGGAAAGGTAGGATGAGGACGGATGGAACGAGGAAAGGTATGATGAGGACGGATAGAAGAGGAAAGGTAGGATGAGAACGTATAAAAACTAGAAAGGTAGGATGAGGACGGATGGAACGAGGAAAGGTAGGATGAGAACGTATAGAAGAGGGAAGGTGGGATGAGGACGGATAGAAAGAGGAAAGGTAGGATGAGAACGGATAGAAAGAGGAAAGAAGGATAAGGACGGATAGAAGTGGAAAGGTAGGATGGGAACGGATAGAAAGAGGAAAGATAGGATGAGAATGGATAGAAAGAGGAAAGAAGGATAAGGACGAATAGAAGAGGAAAGGTAGGATGAGAACGGATAAAAAGAGAAAAGGTTGGACAAGGACGGATAGAAGAGGAAAGGAAGGATGAGAATGGATAGAGAGAGGAAAGGTAGGATAAGGAAGGATAGAAGAGGAAAGGTAGGACAAGGAATGGATAGAACAAGAAAGAAGAGGATGAGGAAAGATATGACGAAGATGAGAAGATAAGTTGACAGAACTGTCCTTACCAGAGATTGAAGCCTGACACAAAGTTATATCAGAGTTTCACGGGAGAACACAGGGTTTAAGATAGATAGCAGATAGATAGATATATAGATAGATATATTGATAGATGAATAGATAGATAGCAGATAGAGAGATATATAGATACATATATTGATAGATTAATAGATAGATAGAATATATATATAGATATTTAGATAAAAAGATAAATAGATCAAATAGATTGATAAATAGATAGATTGACAATAGATAAATTTGAAAAGTTATACATACACATACATATATAGATAGATAGATAGAAGGGAGAGGCGAGGTATGATTGCATATGATTGACAGGTTCTAGTCATCTAATGAAAGATTTATCACCAGACACCTGCCATGATTCATCACTACTGTCCATCATTTCTTCTCTTCTAGTATTCTTCTCATTCTCCTTACATCAATCCTTGTCCTTCTTTTTACTCTTCATCCTCACACCATGGGACGCTTTACTCAGGGTGGCCTGGGATTACGATAGTATAGAAATATATTGTAAACTTATCCTAGTAAACTACATAGATAGAGTCAAATTAGATCATGCAAGAGGTATTAAATGGAGAGGATGGAGAAGCTGGAGAGAATGGAGAGAATGGAGAGAATGGAGAGGATGGAGAGGAAGGAGAGGATGGAGAGAATGGAGATAATGGAGAGAATGGAGAGAATGGAGAGAATGGAGAGGATGGAGAGAATGGAGAGAATGGAGAGGATGGAGAGGATGGAGAGAATGGAGAGAATGGAGAGGATGGAGAGGATGGAGAGAATGGAGAGAATGGAGAGGAGGGAGAGGATGGAGAGAATGGAGAGAATGGAGAAGATGGAGAGAATGGAGAGAATGGAGAGAATGTAGAGAATGGAGAGGATGGAGAGGATGGAGAGAATCGAGAGGATGGAAAGGACAGAGACTGTAGATAAAAGGTGAATATGAAAAAGTTTTATGATTTTATACTCTTTAAACTATTCGTCATCGTAAACTTTGGATCAAAACTTGTCAAGAATATTTAGAATATATTGGTTCAAAGAATTTTGTCTAGGTCAGTAGTTGTGTAGAGTAGTGTGGAAAGGAGGGTAGGGAAGTTAGGGGAGAGGGCGGGGGATAATGTAGGTAAGGGGAGAAAAGAAGTTATGAATGCACATGGTTCTACTTTTGAAAATCATGTGTGTTCCATGATTTTCGAGAAATAAAGGTGTGCAACATGCATGCTCTCATTGTAGAATTTACAAGATATTGCAACAAAAAATCAACCCAAGTCCCCACCCCCCCTCCACCATTGAAGAGACATTTTTCCATTAGTCCAGAAAGAAGTATGGAAATAATGAAGAAAAATATATATCTATAGCAAAACTTTCCTTTTTGTTTAAAAACGAGCCAGTCCGACAATAATCAAATGTTTTTTTCACGGTTTATATAGAGTTGTTTTCATTCATTTATCCCTTGTTGCTCTCTGAATTTATGTACTTTGATCATTTAACTGCATTCGCCCCACCTAGAAACACAAACAACCCCCACTGCCCCCCCCCCCACTCGCTATCCTCAAATTAGAAAAACCACAGGGGGAGTAAAAAATTTCATCCAAAATTGTTGTTGGTTTAGGTGCAGATTTGCACTAATAATTGTTTAGTTTTCGTGGATTTTTTTGTTATATACTTTTTACTTGTTTATAGATTTTAATAAATGGAATTGAGTCATTGCCACAAACTCTAATTTTCTAATCCCGCTATCTTTGCAACTCAATGTCTAAGTTTGAAATATCAAAGGTTTACATCATCAGGTTGCAAAGATATAGATATTATGTCACAGACACAATTCCTTTTGAGATAAGATATTTTTTTCTCCAAAAAAAATTAGATTATCTGATCTTTTTACTCTATGCCTAAAACTATTTTTTTCACTAAGTTTCATCTTGAAACTTTAACCCTGCAGAAGATAAGTTCAGTCTTGTGTAAAAAAATACCATTTTTTACTCACCCTGCATATAGGTATAAAGATTACTGCAGTTATGCATATACAATATACATCATACAAAATTTTACAATAACTTGAAATTTACCTTTTAACCTTATTTTTTGCAACATTAGTTAAAAAAATTTAGCAAAATAAGTTCTCATTTAATGTCTTTGTTATTTATAATCTAAAGGTTTCAGCTGTCAATGATTTTGGTATCTGAAAAACTAACTGTCTGCGAAGTTTGCGTGCAAAAGTTAAAATCTGCCAAAATATTCACTTCATTATTGCTTTCCGATTCTTTTTCTCACCAAACTGACGGTATTTGAACATAAAATGTCATTCAAAGGCTGGCTGGTGGAAAAAGGGAACGTTTTGTCAGGTTGAACCAAATTCTACACTTTCTTATATTCCTATTGACCGAGGATTGAAGGTCTAAACTACAAATACAATAATAACAAAGAAATTCTCCTGGAATTTTCATTTGAACTTTTAAAAAGTTTTGCATTGATAAACTTACATAAACTTACATACAATTGAAACAAAAATAAGACATCTCTTGATGTATCAATTATAAATAAGAAAAATTATATTATTTCAAATCCTTCAAATCCCGATTTTACAGTGATAAAAGTCTGCAAAAACATTTGTTAAATCCGGCTGTAATTGAAAAATGTATTGAAAATCTGTCCTAATTGCACATTTTAATTTCTTTTACGCAAGTGTGCCTTGGGCAAAACAATTTTTTTAAATCAAATTGTATTCTTGTTTATTCGATTAATGTTTAGGAAAAAAACTTTGTGCAGTAAAATATTTGAATGGTTAGAAAGTTTGTTTGTATGAATGAGGTATCTAGTATCTAGAAGGTTACAGTTCCATGCCACTATTAAATCAATCAATCAAATACATGCCAATCTTTCAGATAGACAGATAGATAATTAAATAATTTTAGACATAGACAGATACAGACATCAAAGAACGAAACACAAATAAAAATAAGATAGATATATACATAAACATAAATATAGATACAGAAGGATACAGAATTCAGATACACAGAAAAATAAAAATAGATACAGAGAGATAAAAACATTAATATAGATTCAGATACACAGAACCATAAAAAAAGATATAGATACAAACAGAAGGGTACAGATACACATAAAAACAAATATAGATGCATATAAACACAGAAGAATACAGATACACAAGACCAAGACCAAGCTTGTTTCGCCTGTTAAGGAATGGAATAAGGAAAATACTATTAATGCACTGTAGATCACTTACTATCTATAAAAAAAGTTATAGTAAAGAATTCTTTCTCACTCATTTCTTTATAATATTATTAAAAGTGCTAACTAAACATGAAGACGCAACTAAAGCAAGCAAATTATAAGGGTGGAAATACCTTTTTCAATAAATTGAAATCATTTTGAACAATTATCCACGTTTTTCCATGTACATAACCGTCTTCACAGAACCCTGGGGGGCCATGAATCTTTATCCTATCCTATAGAGCAAACGAATTAAGTTTTTGCCACAAAAAAAATATAGGGATTAGAATATCTAAGTTTGTGGCAAAGATTCAATTTCTTCGCAGGGTTGTCCATTTAGCATGAAACTACAGAGACAAAGGAATTAAGTCTTTGCCAAAAACAAGATATAGGGATTAGAAAATTAGAGTTTGGGGCAAAGACTCTTCTCAGAGTTTTCCATAACGGAGGAAACTACAGAGACAATGGAATCGAGTCTTTGCCACAAACTATAATCTTACAATCCATATATCTTTATAACCTAATGTCGTAGACCTTAGATATTTCAGACTATGAATTCTTGTTAGATTAAATAATTGAAATATCAAAGTTTACATCATCAGGTTGCAAATATGTGGAGATTAGAAAATTTCAGTTTGTGGCAAAAGTTCAGTTCCTTTACAGATTCTATTCAGTCTTTTTTATATCGAATTCTTTGCTCATTGCACCTGTAGGTACAGTTACTTTATTCAAAATATCAATCCGTAAGTCCCTTTTCTAGTTAACCTCAAACAAAAGAAATCAATTTTCAGAGGATAACACAACATTTGTTTAAAGGTTTCCATCGTGAATTGGACAAGAAACTTGAACTTGAAATTATGGTACCCCTTGCACAAATAATCTGATCAAAGCAAAATAAATCTCTTTTTTTCACTCTTATTTTCTGACGATTTAGCTCTCAACACTTTTTTTTGCAAATTTTCTTTTACCTGCACCAAGGAACAGTGAAGTGAAGGGTTGACTCTACAAAGCGTAAAAATCGGTAAGGAAAAATAATCTTGCAAGTGTATTAAATACAGGTTCTAAATAACAGTAGTTCTTTCAACATAAATCATTAACCTTGATATACATGAAGTATTGCATTATTTAATTTGCAATGTTTTCAACTTTGAAATAACATTTTTTTCTTGAATCTTAAGATACTGTTTAAACTATTACATATTAAGCAGTACTTGAATATTAATAGCTAGCATGGGAACCCAGCTTTGCCTGGAGACAAAGTTTTCTTTATAAGAGTCCGCCACGAACTTTCTACAAAGTTCCTGAGTTCCCCATTTAAATTTGAGGCAAATTGGTCAGGTTCATGAGTTTTGATCAGACATATAAACAAAAAATAAAGATCACTACTTTATTTACATAAATGTCAGTTCAAAATTCTCAATAAAAAACAGCCATCAGTCCAATAATATAATCACCCTTTCAGTGTACTTAAAGAGATAATCCCATATATCCAGATTCCAGATGTTTATTACTCTTGTATCTTAAATTAAAGAATTTGAACAGGATAACAAACTTTTATTTTTTAGGAGACATAGCAATACATAGAACTCGAATATGGAATGCATTGTTTTTCATGAGTTTAAACACTTTAACAAATATATAATATAAAGAATACTAAATTAAGCTTAAAAGCTGATTCACTTTGGATCGCAAGAGAGTGAGAGATAGATAGATAGATAGACAGCTGACAGAAGCTTGAGAGAGGATGGATCACAATAAAAATATGAATTCTTCATAGAGTCTAATTATTTTCTATCTTGAGAACCGGAGTTTGGAAAATTTATTTTTGATTGCAAGACAATTGTTTGGCGAGCTGAGCATATTTAGCGTACTTGGATTGAATGTTTAGATCGTCTTTGGTATCAGGGGAGGGAGATCTAGCTCCAGGGAAACCAACTACTCCGGGCTCCTTAGTAAAGTGCATCTTGGAGAGATGATGTCGGTACGCACCTCTAGAGATAAAGGGTGTATCACAAAAAGGACATTTGATGACAGAGTCGTTAGAGACTGCTTGGTTACACGCCCAGGAGAATGCCATCATTGCTCCGGGATCAGAGATCTGACTTGGTTCGGATATTCTCGGGTTCTTTGGAGACTTTCTCTGGGTATCACAGAGGAGCTGAAGAGCAGCTAGAGGGTTCGAGGATTTCTTCTCTTCCTCTTCCTCTTGAAGATGTTGAGATCTCTCTGGTTTAATATCAAGTTTGGTCAGGTCGGGAGATTCTATTCTCTGTCTCACAGGATTCTCATTGATATCCTGTGGAGTAGGAGAACTAATGAGAGATGGAGAAGGAGAGGCAGCGCTACCATCAGTTTGATTGTTGCTATCTATTTCCTGCTTGATTTTTCCATTTGTTTGGCCATCAGGAGACTCAGTTGATTTCTCCAGGGAGGGCGGGGAGGATGGTTTATTGGATAGAGAAGGAGGAGGAGATGAGGGTTTCTGAGAGGAGGGAGGAGGATGGGGAGAAGAGGGTTTACTGGAGACACTGCTACTAGATCCTGGAGATATGGAGCTATCTCTAGGTATCATGTTTGATACACTGAACTTTGTTAAGGAGTTCACCGGGTTGTACAATGAGTGTAGAGAGGAAGGAGGACTAGGAACTGTGAATTTGCGTCCCATGGACGCTTGGAAATTTCCTTTTACCATTTGTTCCAAGGATCCTAGGATGGAGGAGTGCGAATCCTTCTTCTGATCGGAGTCGGAGCTTCTGTCCGAACCTTCATAAGACAAATCTTCAGTTTTGATGGGAGGGATTGGAACCGAGATATTCCTGCCAACACACTGCTGGATGTGGGAGATGAATAGATCCAAGGGTATTCTATCTTCACATCTCTCACAGAGCAGTTTACCACTCTCCATGATGTCTCGAGCACTTGCTGCAGCTGCCTTGGAACCCTGGACACCCCCGACAATCTCATGTCGAGCACGCTCCAGTTCAAGAAGCTTCTTTACAGGAAGAGCTTTTTTCCGCTCCCTTGCAAGAGCAGCAGGGGAGGGCAGGGACGGACGGGCCCCACGAGATTCTCCAGTATAATGATTAGCCTTGATCATGTGTTCACTTAAATCCTTTAAAGTTCCAAAACCTTTCTCACAAACCTTACAGGTCAACACAGAGTTAATGTGACTCTTTGATGTGTGCTGAGCTTCAGGATATTTCCAAGCTGAGAGTTGGTCGTGAGATATAACTTTCTTATAATGTTGCGTCTCCTGCATATGCTTTGTCAGAAGATCTAAACTTCTAAAGCTCTGTCCGCATCCCATACACTTGAGAATATCTCGGGTTTGTTGATCCGCCTTCCCTATCCATATATCTTGTCCTCGAACTAGCTTACGAGGCAGGGGGAGCTGTTCCTTTAGTATATCCCGTCCTCCTGGACTAGGTTTAGGAGAGGTCGACATAGTAGAAACTGGACTCGACATAGATCTAGACGGAGAGGATACCGAGGGGGGCATAGAGAGCATTGAGGCTGAACTATGCATAGGATATGGCATAGCATGGTGTTTGGCATCTTTCATATGAGTGGTGAGGTCCTCAAGGGTTTGATAACTCTCCTTGCACCACACACACTTAAATACATCACATATTTTACCTCCGTCTTTAGTTTTGTTGATCCACTGTGACTGCCAGGGGTTAGAACGGGGAGGAGAGGAGCTAGGATTGGATTTATTGTTTGCTGCTAAACTGAGTAGAGTTGAAAACTCTGAACCTGCTACAGGTGGCTTTAGTTGATTAAAGAAAGATAAAATATTAGAAGGTAACATAGGATTAAAGGAGTTTTCTTGCTTTAACTCAGGACTCTTGTTTCCGGAGAGATCCAGGGGACTCTCTCCACTCCTCTCCTTGTCACAAGGAGAGCTGGACCTAGGATATTTAGACCTAGAGCCTAGATCTAGAGGAGAATCATCTCCGGCGGAGCGTTTTCGATCCGACCCGTCCCGGGAATCCTCAGAGTTTTGTTTGGATATGAGCAGTTGAGCAGCTTGGAGCTGTGCAAACTGAGCAGCATATAGACCTGGGTTCAGAGCAAGCAGATGAGCTGGAAGCAAAAAAGGGTTTTTCATAATATCAATCGGTAGCGAGGACATGTTGCTGTTCTCAGGTGCAGGACTGGAGGGAGAACTCCTACTACAAGGTTGATCTAGAGATTCAGACGCTAGCATTGGAACTTCAGGTTCATCATTACTCTCACTTCCGTCAGATTCAACCTGCCCAACTCCTGAAAAATGGAAAAATTAAACCATTCGTTCAAAACAATAACATTTTTTAAGTCTGACATTTTAAAGTATCCATAATCTCCAAAGGGGACAATATCAATTTGGAAAAAAAATCTACAAGGGAACTGAACATGTCCATCAAACTTAAATTTTCTGATTTCTAAATATTTGTAACCTGATGGTCAAAATTTGACTATATTATCTCGCAGAATTTATAGTTTAAAGTATCAAAGGTTTACAACATCAGGTTGCAAAATTGTAAGGATTAAAAAAATAGCGTTAGAGACAAGTGTTCAATTCTTTTCAGCTGAAAGGAAGTCAGAGTTGAGAAGGGGTTTCCAAACAATAATAAAATATAACATTTTTAATAACTTTTTTTATATCTTTCCAGTAAGCGATAACTAGAAAAAATTAACTATATAAAAGTTAACGTAGTATTAAGTTAAAATGCCATAACAAAAAAAATTCACTAAAAATACAAAAAGATACGCTTGAATAATTTTAAATATTTTTATCAAATTGAATATTTTAAATCTACGTAAAGATGAGTTTTAAATAAATATAATAATAATCTTTCCAATAACAATTTTTTATTTCCTTTTTCAAACTTTTTTTGTAATTTGTAAAACAAAATTCAACGATTAGGAATCTTAAACAAATTGATAATTCGGTATAGAAAATATAAAACTAAATAAACTTAAATCTACGAATAGAAGTGTAGTATCGAGAAAATTATATTTTATAATGTATAAGTACAAGTCTTCATGTGTTTACTGTCAATCTATGAGGCTTGAATGTGACGTATTATGACATTGTGGCATGAGCCAAATACATACATTACAATATGAAAAGGATTACTTTTTATGTAGCCCCCCCCCCCTCCTTTAACATGTAAGTACGACTGTATTCTATTTGGAAGCAGAAAGAAATTCGTTTAGAAAAAAAACTCATCCGTCAAAACTAATGTCACTCAAACTTCAAGAAATTCGACATTTTAAAGAAAAATCTGTCTTTTTAGAACGACAAGAAGGGGGAGCTAGAAATATTCAGAAAATCTGTAATTTTTACCAAGCCAAGAAATAGAAAAGGCAAAATTCCTAAAAATATGCAATATTTGCTTGTCATCGAACAACTTGCCTTCATTTCTCTCCACACTTGGATCTCCAAGATTGTCAGTTCTTTTGGGAACCCCCTGCTTCCTTCTGCCCATTTTTTAAATGTTTATTGGCAAATTGTATCATCTCCTAGCATAACATTTATACACTGAAAATCCAAGTCCTTTGCATGAGAGATATTAGCTTAATGTGCTATATATGTGTGTCTTCTCTCCAAGCCTATCACAGACTGAAGGGTGTCCTGTCACGGCGGCCTGACAGCTGACGGATCCGTGCCGGTACTCCGCCTCAACTAAACCGGTCTGACTGGGTGACAAGCCGGGACAGGGCACACCTGGTTAATGACAACATAGACTCTACTCAGCACTGTTCTACGCGGATCATTATTCCTTTGATTCTACGCGGTGCGAAGGAGATAATTTCTCTGGAGTGAAAATAACCCATCTAGGAGTAAAAGTCCGAATGCTAAGATCCTGGTCAAAAAGAAAAGATCAGAAAAATATAGAAATTAGAAATAATGTAAATTGGCCAGGGTTTAGAAATATTAGCGTTCTAGATAATCAATGTAAGTTTGACAGGCATCCATCATTCCCAGTCATGAAATATAGAATAAATAGATTTTCCTCAGCAAAATTACTTATTTAATTGAAAATGTTTTATTTCCAGTTTTTGCTTTGAAAAAGTGTTTTTGATTTAAAAGTAATTTGATTGTTTTTGTTCCTGCACATGAAGTTTTTATATCAATTGAAATTAAAATGTATTTAAATTAGAATTAAAGATTGGCATAGTTTGTGGTGCTGATAGTTTTACTCGTTTTTTTTAGTACACCCAAAATTATATGTATTAAGCTCATGGGCAACCGTAGTACATTTAAATTTCCGAGCCGGGTCAACCTTTCCGGTCCCAGTTTGTACTGTATCGCCAGGACATTGGGTAAATAAAGCAGACACTCATTAGGACTAGCCGGTGCAAACAAGGTTGACGCGGTCAGACTTTAGGTTGAATTTACTTTTACAAAAGGGTCAGGGGTGCGTGAGCTAGCTAAACATATCCAAACCAGATAATTCAAAGTCCACCAAACCATGCGATTTTTTTTCTTCAAAAATCGGAATTTTTTTTAAAATTTGATTTTTTAAAATATCTTGGCCAAACGATGAAACATTGAATATTTAAAATTTAAGAAAAATCTTAATTAAATGTTTAACAGTGGTGTCGAAGATGAAGGCTCACTGATTATTAAAACTCGCGAGAAGAGGTACAAATAGTCCAGGATATATATTTATCCATTGAGCAAATATTGTTCCTCTGTCAATCAAGGGTTTAGGAGGAGAAATAATAATGAAATATGATATTGGAGATACTGGGAGGTACCTGGAGATACGGAGATACAGGGTGGAACCTTGAGATACAAGGGGTACCTGGATTTACAATAATCTGGAGATACAGGTAGTATCTGGAGATACAGGGATGTACCTGGAGATACAGGGAGGTACCTGGTGATACATTGGGGATCTGGAGATACAGGGAGTTACCCAGATGTAAGGAAGGTTCAGGAAGTACTTTGAGGTTCACGAAGGTAGCTGAAGGTACATGGACATCCCTGTTAATACAGAAACGTATACAAAGAACAGAGGTAGGAACTGTTCTGTGAAGTATCGTTAATCTTGAACACTTAATCTTGAAATCCAATGTAGGTGGACTTTTGAGAATAAATGCCTGATCCTTAGAAAAAAAATTATCATTGCAGGTTTCGATCAGCAGGGGATGTCGAAGAAGAATTTAATTAATCAGTAGGTTTGCATGTTTAATTAATCCATAGGTCTGCAGGTTTAATTAATCCGTAGGTCAACATGTTTAATTAATCCGTAGGTCTGCATGTTTAATTAATCCATAGGTCTGCATGTTTAATTAATCCGTAGGTGTGCATGTTTAATTAATCCGTAGGTCTGCAGGTTTAATTAATCCATAGGTCTGCATGTTTAATTAATCCGTAGGTCTGCATGTTTAATTAATCCGTAGGTCTGCATGTTTAATTAATCCATAGGTCTGCATGTTTAATTAATCCGTAGGTGTGCATGTTTAATTAATCAGTAGGTTTGCACGGAGAATCCCAGATACACAACGCAAAAGTTCTGCGTCAGGAAGTTTATAGGCTTTACTTCTACGAAGAGCTAAATTTGGAACGCTTAGTTTAAAATTGATTCAATAACAAGAAGTTAGAGAAGTACTCGACAATTTTTCAAAGTTAACAAGAGACGTATATAGTTGACAATATATGTTGAATGTCTGGATTAAGATGGATGTGTATCAGAGAGACCGAGAGGATAAGAAGAACCGAATATATATACATTTAGAGAACCCGCTACCTTGGGTTGACCGGCTCAGAGGCAGCGGTATCTTTTCTATTAGTTGACTGATGACCTCAATACCCCCCCCTCATTTAGTTCTCCTCCCCCTTCTCCACCCGACAAAGAGAACTGTCATCAAATTAATCATCCGAATGATAATCAAACCCCCTTCAACCCCAATCCACCCTTCCATCCTTCTTGGCCATCCTGATCTTGATTCTTCTCTTCTTCCACTCCATCCTAACCTTGATTTATCTCTTCTTCCACTCCATCCTAACCTTTATCCTTCCATTCACTTTCTTCCTCCTAACCTTTATCCTTCCATCCTCTTACTCCATCCTAACCTTTATCCTTCTATCCTCTTTCTCCATCCTCATCTTTATCCTTGCATCCTCCTTCTCCATCCTAACTTTTATCCTTTCATCCTCCTTCTCCATCCTCCTACTCCCTCCTAACCTTTATCCTTTCATCCTCCTACTCTATCCTAACCGTTATCCTTCCATCCTAACCTTTACTATTCCATCATCTTCCTACTCCATCCTAACCTTTATCCTTCCATTTTCCTTCTCCATCCTCACCTTTATCCTTCCATTCTTCCACTCCTTCTACTCCCTCTTTCCTTTCTCCGACATTTTATCTTGCCTTATTTCGACTTATTTGTTTTTCTTCAATAATCAAAACAATTTTTGGATTTCCTATTCGTGGTAATTCAAGAGTATCTAACAAAATGATGTTATTTACCATTTTTCATGTAAATGTGACGTTTTTATTTAAGATTTCAATTTCAAAAATAGCCATAAGATGTTCTAACTGTAATTTAAGCGTATTTTATGCCATTCTTTGAATATAAATGTTAATACCCCACTCTCACTTTATTCTTTAGCGCCGCATGGAATCCATCCTTCTATATACACTATCATACACTCCATATACATTTTTTTTAATCCTGCAGATATAATGAAACCTAGTTTCTTATTCTTCCTTTCTTAAGATTAAACCTTAACCATTTCTATTTTCCTTTTTTTCTTTACTTTCTTTGTCCTTGGCTCTTCCTTTCCTACTCTTCACTTTTCCTAAATCCCTTTTTACAAATCATTTTTCTTGGGTCCATTTTTTCCTTTTAACTTCTATTTTTTTTTGTGTAAAATAAATAACCTCTAAAGTTACGTCAAAAATCCAGCATTTTCGGTCCATTTCAGATTTAAATTGGGTAAATAAAGGGCCCTGTTTTTAAGAGAAAGCCTTTTTTTATACGTTCTGAAAATGCATGTTTCAAGCACCTCTGATCCTTTAGGAAAAGTAAATTTCACCTAAAGTCTGACCGCGTCAACCTTGTTGCAATGGCTAGTCCTATTGATTCTCTGCTTTATTTACCCTATATCCGGGCGATACAGTACAAACTGGGACCGGAAAGGTTGACCCGGCTCGGAAATTCAAATGTACTACGGCTGCCCGTGGTTTTCTGGATGATATATAATTTAGGGTTATGCTATTTTTGAAATGTTTAATGATGTAGAGTCCTTTAAAAATGCATATTATGTTTGGTTTGTAACTTTATTCAACAGAATTTGAAAGACATGTGTTAGCAATAATTTGGATATGGGCTTGAAAATATAGAAAAATATAGAAAATATTAATTAGACAATTACAGAGTTACCCTTTATTAATTCAAAGTAAGGAGAATAGCAGTGAAATTCACAAAACCGGGAGAATCATATACCACGGGCAGCCATAGCACATTTGAATTTCCGAGCCGGGTCAACCTTTTCGGTCCCAGTTTGTACTGTATCGCCCGGACATTGGGAAAATTAAGCAGACACTCAATAAGACTAGCCGGTGCAACAAGGTTGACGCGGTCAGACTTTAGGTTGAATTAAATTTTACTGAAGGGTCAGAGGTGCGTGATACTCAAGCTTACTTTTTAATTTCTTAGAATACAATACATGAATTGTATATATTGAAAGAATAATGTGTAGAACTGTTGAGCAATATATCCTGGTATATATGTATACAGAGTACAGTATATATACCAACCCTGGATATTATTAGTTATTACTTGACAGTTCTAGATAATCAATCAATCTGCTCACTGCTCACTGCAACATTTACAAAAATAATACAGGGTGTCCCAGAACATAGGGTGTACCAGAATACAGGGTGTACCATTATACAGGGTATATCAGAATACAGGGCGTACCATTATACAGGGTATATCAGAATACAGGGTGTAACATTATACAGGGTATATCAGAATACAGGGCGTATCAGAATACAGTGTGTGCGTACCAGACTAAAGTGCATACCAAACTACAGGGTGTACCAGAATACAGGGTGTATCAGTATACAGGGTGTACCATTATACAGGGTATATAAGAATACAGGGTGTACCATTATACAGGGTGTATCAGAATACAGGGTGTACCATTATACAGGGTATATCAGAATGTAGAATTATGATTCATTTTTCAAGAATAAATAAATAGAATTTTATTTAATTTGGGTTAAAAAATAATGATTTTTACTGTGAACGAAACTGATATCTTAATAAATATATATATTTATATAATTAAACTAAAAAAATGTTTCACGTCTCACGACGATCCCCAGTACACGGGCAGCCGTAGTACATTTGAATTTCCGAGCCGGGTCAACCTTTCCGGTCCCAGTTTGTACTGTATCGCCCGGACATTGGGTAAATAAAGCAGACACTCAATAGGACTAGCCGGTGCAAGAAGGTTGACGCGGTCAGAATTTAAGTTGAATTTACTTTTACTAAAGGGTCAGGGGTGCGTGAGTAGTATAAAATAGTATAATTACATAATACACATATAATATATTATATATAAATAGACCGTGTAGAGAGTATATTGCAGGGTTGGCTTGTAAGCAAAGATTTG